GTTTTAATACCATTGTATGCCAATTAGTTCTAAGGATATGGATGACATTTCATTTGGGTTGCATTTTTTTACCATAGGAACTGTCATCATTTACACTCGACAAACCAGCATACAGATCAGAACACTGTTATTATTAGGTTTCTGCCCTTCTTGAAATTTTGAGATGCAGTTCTCCAATCAAAGGAAACCCACAAAGTGGGGAAGTTGCATATAAAAAGGCATATATTAGGCAGAGTGTGTGCAGAAATGAATGTATTCATTGGGGAAAGCTGCATACAAAAATGCATATGAATTTTTATGGCCTCAGAAATGCACGAGAGGAAAAGTGTATGCTTTTGCTCTGAGTACAGGGTTTTTTTTTAAGATTATAGACTGATGCTGAAATTTAACAGCATGTGTTTGGGCTTAAATCAAGATAGTACCCTGACCCACATCTACCACCCAAAACCCAGGTCTAGAACAAGTTTATGTGGTACAAGAGGGGGACGCTATAGGCAGGTGAGATCAAGAGTGTTCGTAACCTTGGTCTTGGTCTCCAACGACACATCCTTACACTTGAGCTTTTTCCAATCCTTTCATTGCTGCCCTTCCAAGTCTCAGTCTTCTTCTGATTTCTTGACAGCAGTCTCCATAAATATTGGTGACTGAACCAAGGTATACAAAATCTTCCGCTGTTTCTTGGAACTTTTGAAAGAGATCTCTTGTTTTCCCCCATTTGTTGCTTTCCTCTATTCCTTGGCACTGGTTGTTGCAGTAGATATCTTTGTCTATATGTGACAATAGCTGAAAAACTGCATTCAGAGTTCTGTTCCTGTTTCTGTCACTTTTGTTGCTCACCTGTCATTTATAGTTTTAACTGTTTCTTCCATCTCCAGGTTTTTCTTTTCTTTTTTTCTACTGAAATTGTCTTTTTGCATTCTTCCCTACTACAGTAATATCTCTGGTTTCAATCCACAGATTTTCTGGTTAACAGTCAATTTAATTTAGTAACGCTCTATGTGTATTTTAAATTAATCAGAAATGTTGTTTGAATTGTATGTTGACACTATGATTCATGATTAGTACCACAGTGCACTCCTGGTCTTGTTTTGGCAGAGATAATTCAGCTTCTCTATTTCCTAGTTCCAGTTGCATTGTCTATTTGATTTCTGTATTCGTTTGGTGATATCTATGTGTACAACTGCCTGTCTGGTTGCTGGAAACATGTATTTTCAAAATACAGATTGTTGGCTTTGAAGAACTGTGTGAGGCATTCTCCTGCACCCTTTCTGTCCCTTAGGCCAAACTATCCAACAATATTTGGTTCTACTTTGTTTCCTACTGTAGCATTCCAGTCAACTATGATTATAAGCATACCTTATTTTAGTGTGTGATCAGTTTCTTCCTGGATGCTTTCATAAAAGCTTTCAGTATCATCTTCTTCAGCATCAATGGATGGAACATAGACTTGAATTATGCTTATGTTGATAGATTTCCGCAGATTCTGATTTATATTATTCGGTCAGAGTTTGCATGGTAGGTCCTAACTGCCAGTGCTTCATCTTGCCTCAGTATTAGAGCCAATCCATTTCTTCTTGGTTTGCCATTTCCAGAGTAGAACATTTTGCCATTGTCTGACTGAAAATATCCCATTCCAGTCCACTTTGGTTTGCTGACACCAAGCACGGTATTGTTTATATATTCCATTTCTTGCTTTATGATTTACAGTTTACCTTGATTAATACTTCTTACATTCCATGTACCAATTGTATGTGTTCTATGGCATTGGACTTTCTTTATACTTTTGTGCATGTCAGCTAATAGATGTCCTTTCAGCTTTAATATAATTGCATCATTAATGACAGAACTATTCATATTTGTCCTTTCCTTTTTTTACCTGGGAGTCTCATCTTTCAGCACTATCTCTTGTTTCATTTCTGACTGTATCATCATAGGATTTTCATGGTAAGCTAATTTCAGCAGGGGTTTACCATTGCCACCGTCTGTGCAGTTCTAACAAAGGTTAGCTTGAGTACCACTGCCATTTCCTTCTCCACCAGTGTCACCTTCAAGTGTTGCTGCTGTCCAGTTGCTGCATTGAAAAGGGTGCATACATCTTAGTCTGGTGTCTCAACTGTGATCATCCTGCTTTGGGTGGCCTTGCTAAGAATCCGGGCTCATAATGGAGTCTGGCCTCCTGATGGCATTGCTCGCGGTTTCACTGGCACATCCAAATGCCTTCACCACATTAAGGTGTGCATCCAAGAAGGGGATTTGCGTACTACACCACTTCTGATCACAGATGTGGCTTCACATGATTGAATATTCATTTAATCAGATCCTATTCCAAAGAGGCAGCCCAGAGGAATACCATGGGCAACAGTATCAAAAGCTGACGAGTCCTGCAGAACTAACTAGGATGTAGTCTTCCTGCCTTTTCATCAACCAAAATAATCACAGTCCCATACATAGATGAGAAGCCTGAAGTATTATTTATTTATTTATTTATTTGTTTGTTTGTTTGCCTATCTGGTCATTACGACCACTCTAGGCAGCTTAATATCCAATTTCATCCAGGAATCCTGAAAGATGAGAGGTCATTACACACTCTGGTGTCCTGTCCAAGAATGGAATATTAAAGATTGGCCAGTAATAATCTAGTCCTATGGGGTTCAAGGATGGCTTTTCAACAACAGTTATACAACTGACTCTTTTGAGCACATTGGAACTCTGTATTATTAACCACAGGCATTCACTATTCCTCTCACCCACATGCCTGCTGCTTTTATGACCCAGCAAGAGCAAAGATGCAGGATACACGTGGTGACTCTCACTTCGCCATGGATCCTGTCCACAGACTGATGCTATGACAAGTGGGAATGTATCCATTACTATTGGACAAGAGGAATCGTCGTCAGAACTATTTGTATTATATCAGCTACAGCATCCAAGTCAGAATGGATCCAGGCAGTTTTATCTGCAAAGGGTAGAGCACTTTGTTTGCAGCAGGTTCTTGAGTGGCTTATGCTCTCTCTTTTCAGAGTGTAAGAGGCCCTTGACCACTCAGAACAGCTCTGATGAATGAAGTGAGCAGATGCAGTGTCGTTGTTTAGTCATCAAGTTGTGTCCGACTCTTCGTGACCCCATGGACCAGAGCACACCAGGCCCTCCTGTCTTCCACTGCCTCCCGGAGTTGGGTCAAATTCATGTTGGTAGCTTCAGTGACCCTCTCCATCCATCTCATTCTCTATCATCCCCTTCTCCGCTTGCCTTCACACTTTCCCAACATCAGGGTCTTTTCCAGGGAGTCTTCTCTTCTCGTGAGATGGTCAAAGTACTGGAGCCTCAGCTTCAGGATCTGTCCTTCCAGTGAGCACTCAGGGTTGATTTCCTTCAAAATGAATAGGTTTGATCTCCTTGCAGTCCAGGGGACTCTCAAGAGTCTCCTCCAGCAACACAATTCAAAAGCATCAATTCTTCAGCGGTCACCCGAGCAGATGCAATGCTGGCTGGCAAAAACTGTCTCTTTGCTGCCAGCACCACTGCAGAGTAGGGCTTTGTATTTTACTCAGCCTTAGTTCTTCTGAAATCATCACCCTAGTCCCTGTCTCCTAGGAAGCTGGGCTGAGGGTGAAGGCCAGGTCTGTTTGCATGGATGCCTTGCTGAGTTTTTTTTTTCCCCTGGGCTTTCTTTTTGTCTCCTGAGCACATGGCCTGGGGGTGGGGCCTAGGGGTG